ATGAATGTGTGAGAAGTAGTGTATTGGTTGATTTATTGAACTTAGCTAAAAAAGATTCAATTTTCAGTATTTCACATGCCTTGAGGTTATTAAATTTAATAGTTAGCGCACCAGAGCAAATAATCAAAGTTAAGGCACTACGTACATTGACGGTCTTGATTAAACGTGGAAGATTACTCGCTGACCTTTTGTCACAAGGATCAGATCAAGACTTATGCATCGAAGCTCTTCATTATATTCAAAATTGTGAAGATATGATCCACCATATTACTGGTGAAGTAAGCATAGTTGCTGCTCAATTTTGTACTGAACTTGTCATAGAAACACGACGCATTGTATCGCATACAAATATTTTAATTTGGGAAGAATGGAATACGTACGTTGGAGAACTTTCTTCAAAAATCCAATCGTCAATACTATCGATTATTGTTGGATTAATGCAGATTTCAGATATAAATGCATCAGATCGTGATATCCGCAGGAAAATCATCAAAAAGTATCTTAAATTCCTTTTTTCAATGAGTTTGTCAGATGACACAATGGCTTTAAATGTGTCAAGATCTATTATTAGAATAATAAAAGAATATATTGTAACGAAAAATGACGATATTCTTGCTGAAGTATCTAAATTTATCTTAATGGTTGGTAAACTCAGGAGATCAATAATTCAAACGTTAATGCAAGGTTTAATGGCAGTCCTGAAATCAGGTGATCTTTTGCAAACGCCACAATCGTTCACTCTCTTGACAAAAACTGCATTAAAAGCTCCCCCTGAAACTAGCGCAGAAGCAGAAAGTTTTCAACAAGAGATCATTGCGACAATTAAAAATTTCGGTCAATTTGACGGAAACACAGTTTGTAACAATCAATGGAACATTTATTTGATTGGTGTTGATGCTGGAAAATCTGGATGTTTTTCTGTCATGGCGAATATTATGCAATTCTTTGTTACATCCGTTGACGTAGACGCCTCAAGATATTGGTTGAGGGCTCTAATTAATATCGCAACAGCAGAAAAAGGGATAGTTATGAAAGTGGGTGAAGAACAAATGTTCGATCTGCAACCAGGAAAAATCGACATTTTAGATACGATTGAAGATTCTATTCGTCGTTACGCACAGGGTGACGAAGAATTAAATGGATTTATGGCACTCATGGACATATCTAGTCAAAGATTATTTGCAAAATGGTTTTACCTTCTTCGAGTTGAGTTTTTTAAGACCATGAAATCCCTTTTGGAAAAATTGAACCAATACATGAATCCTAGAATTAGACGTCAAAAAAAGGACATGGTTGATATTCAAGAAATGTTGTTAAGAACTGCGCATATGCACGATTTCGTAGCACATTCATTCTTTGATGTTGACAAGAAAAGTTTGGAAATTTTAGAATCATATAGGATTTGCTGCCTAATCTTGGTGTATGCCATAAAAAGTCTTCTTACTGGAGTTGAGTTAAATCAAGAACACATTGATCCATCCCTAATTCCATTGATTCCAATGATGCGATATTTGAATATTGATATGAATGGCGCTACCAGCTCTTGGAAAACGGGCGAGATAGATCAACAAGAAAGATTAGCATTGTATACCCGATCTATTCAAATATTAAGGGAAATTGAACAACATAAGCTTCAAGGTGCTTCATCGAATCCAGTATTAGTTGTGCGTGACTTTGCACGTGCAATGTTAAAAATTCCAATGAACATTCCGCCATATTTTTTTGACAGGCAGCAAAGAACGCGTATCCATTGGCTTGATGTCCCATATTTTAAAGGAAACAAAGCAATCTTGGTTCAAGAAAAACTTGTTCTCAAGTTAGAAGGAGTAGTTCAGTCAGGTTATGATGATGTGTCAAAAAAACTGCAAAGCATTGAAATGATCATCTTTGGATCAAATATTGATTTTTTTGAGAAATCTAACCCAGAAAATTCTTTATTAAATAACTTAAAATTCTCAGACACAGCATTAAATTGTAAAGAGTCTGCTACAAAAAATACTGATTCGTTACAAACTTCGGTTGTTGTTTGTAGTGTAGAGATAAACAATAATAATTATTTTGCAGCATCGGTTATCTTTCCGTTTCCGTTAGGTAAAGATGGTTGTAAATTTATAAATATTCATACCAGAATTGTTGATGATCAATCGGCTATGTGGACGATTGGGCCCGAGTTGAGAATAGTAGCTCCTTCTATACAATAGCATGATTAAGTAAAATGAATAATAAGATTAAATTGGTTGGTGTTATTGAATTTTAAATTTGTTGGTGTTTATTTTATTATGAAAGAATTTCTTAATTATATAACATATTCTGTTATATAAACCTTCAATAAAAATATTAGGTTAAATGTATTTTAATAAGTTTAAAACAATTGGTAATTTGAGATTTAATTTTACTGTATTATACAGTAAGAGCAAGTAATGATAGGTAAATTTAACATGTTGAAAGATGTACATCAAGTAAACTAAACTATGATTGATAATAAAATCATAAAGTCTAAAGAACTATTTTATGTGCTTTATTATCTGATAAACCGAAAACAAAATAAAATTCATGAAGTTAATGTTGTTATGCCCAATGCCATAATCTTTGACTGGTTTAAGTCACATGACCTTAATGATATGTCCAGTGTCCAATTGGATACTAGTCCAATTGTCCAAACTATATATATCATTGTACCAACATCCGTTGGACATGACATTATGTCCGTTATATAAGAATTTTTTAAAAATTTTATTACAGACCCAAAATTCCGTTATATACAGTATGTATTCGACTGAAATTGTATCCCAGTAAACGATAAACTTTAAAATTATTAATGTCGCAACACTCGATTCGAATCAATTGATTATATTAGAATATAAAAAAAAGAAAGAAAATACAGTGTGGGACACCTTATACCAGCAAGTGCTTAAATGATAGTGGCCAAATTTTAAGCTAGATTGTGTAACTTTATAATTAATTTTTTTAAAAAAATTTTAAATTTTTAAAAAAGTTTTATAATTTTGGCCAGAATTATGGTGCCAAATTTTTTATAATCTTATTTTCATACTCTTTATATTTTACAAAAAATTTGTTTTAGCTATACACGTTTCGGATGTTCTATAGAATAGGTGGGCAAACTTCGCACTCCGCTATTAAAAAATTAATGATTACTAATTATTAGCGAAGCTTATTTCTTATATTGCCCACCTATTCTATAGAA